GTATTGGTCAAATGTTGATTCCTCCCATGGATAGTGCATTTTTGCTCCAAGACATGATCTGATCATTAATGTCACAAATGCTGTAAGTGTATGCCTGAAAATAAATAAAAGGAAAATAAAAACATGTTTTAAGCACAGTGGTCCCCAGCTGCATGACTCCTACACACACTAAGTTTAAGTGTAAGAAAGTCCTGCCTCTGCTAAGTGAGGTCTGTTCACTCATGCCATTGATCTGCTGGCCAACCCTTCCCACCTCAAACTTCTTAGAATCATAGGATGCCTAAAGTTGAAAGAGACCTTTAACATCATTAAATCCAACCACCAGCACCAAACCAAGCACCATCACCATGTTTACCATTCAAACATGTCCTCAAGTGCCATAGCCACGTTTTTTGAATGCGTCCAGGGATGATGACTCCACCACTTCCCTGGGCAGCCTATTCCAATGCTTTACAAACCATTCTGTGAAGTTTTTTTCCTAATACCTAATCTAAACATCCTCTGGTGTAACTTGTGGCCATTTCCTGTCACTTGGTACCTGTCACTTCAGGACAACATAGAACAAATGTGACAGTGGTGTTGGGGATAGTAGGTTCCTACAGGTACCTGGAAAAAGAGCTCATAGGCTGCAGAAGAAAGAAGATGATCACTGAAGAGGAGGCTCAGTAGTCATCTCTGCTGGGTTTGGCAGCCAACAGCTCTTGGTGCTGACTGGCCGTGGTGGCAGCTGATGGCCTGGGTGCACATGTACTTGCACAGGGACAAGAAACCAAGGGTCAAGCAGGAGGTGATAAGGGACACTGAAAGATCTTGCTGAGGTAAGACACAGCTTTCCTGATAATAATGGAACTATGGCATTTGTTCGGTAATTTGTGTTCATATTATTCTCTCATTTTAAGGTCCCATTAAGGGGGTTTTACCCCTTTCTAAATGATTTATCGTAACAAGCCATTTCCTGGGACCTCAGGGAACATTACAAGCTTCAAAACACTCACTACTTCTCTTCTAGCTAATGGAAATTCCCATCTGCATTCACCCAGGTCACGAAACCATATTTCTCTATGCAATGAACTAGTTGTTTTCTGGTGCTGCTGCCTCCTCTCTTGAAGACAGCCATTAAAAGTGCTTAGTTTGCCTCTCAGCTTCTCTAGAGGTGCTCCTGCTGTTGCCCCCAGACAATTGCTCAGGTTATGATACACAAGGGTTTCTTGAGCAGAGGTCTATGAATTTGTATCAGCATGTTTAACTGTGCCTGCAATGATGCGATTCAACCAGATACCCCCGTCTACTGTCCAGCTCATAGTAAAAATCTATGTTGACTGAAGCCTCAACCCTCTCCTTGACTCCATCTATTGATAACTACTCTCTGAGTGGGATTTTTCCACTTGATGTGCCAATTATAACCAGGTCCTCACTGGGTAACATCAAATCACACAAAGAAACGTTAACACATACAGCTAAGGAACACTTTCACAGTTTAACTAAAGCTCCCCAAAAGCTGACAAAAGCAGGTTATTGAGGTGTGAATGCCAGCCCCAAAGTGCCTCAAAGGTTTGAGATGAGACTGGTGTAAAATCAACAAACCCAGAGGCCTCATGCTGGGGTTCCATTAGCAAGGCATTTGTGTAGAAGGCAGGTGCTTTCCCAGACTGGAAAGAAACCAGCAAGCATCAGCTCTCAGAGAAACTTGCATTCACATGCAGAAGGGAACCATGGGGTGTATTACATCCTTCACCACCACTACGCTTTATTGACACTCCCTGAGAAAAGATTTAATGGGAGCCTAAGCAATTGTGCAGTTTTGGTTGGGGACTGTTGCTGAAATGAGGCAAAACAAATGGTTAGAAACCTCCTCCCCCCCGCCCCCCCCCCACGCCTCTGGATTGAGTCTAATTCCAAATACAATTTGAAAGTATGGTATTCCAATTAAGAGAAAGAGAGGACAATTTCTTCTTAAGTCTGAATGCTGGATTAGGTCCCAGAATCCCAACCCAGCTGCCCATTACACACACAAGCAATGCCCAATGGCAATGACAGCCACCCACAATTGTAGCATTGCATAATGGAGTGTCTGCTTAGAAACCAAGACACAGAAGAGATATGTTCAAACTCCACGGCACCACTGAACAGACTGACCCCTCTCCAAAGAATCAAAGTTTAATCAGCTCATGCATTACTAAAGGGAGGACACAGGATGGCTTACTTCAGTTGGACTCTGGTCCTGGACTTTTCAAGATCCAATACTAAGCAGAATAAAATAAAATGCGAAACATCAGCAAGAAAGACGAAGTTGTTCAGTACTTCCATTTTTCCAACCCCAGCAGTTATTACAGAAATAAACACAGTCAGCCTGGCAGTGTCACAGGCACAAACACCTCTGGTTGTCTGGTAATGCTACATTTTCCTATTAATTTTGCAGGTAGGCATTTTTCTTAACAAAAGATATTACTACTTATCCAACTTGCTTTTGTTCTTAAAGAAGAAACACTTTTCATTTAGAAACATGACCAACATCGGGAAGTTCAACAGCTCAGGAACTTGCACATGGAAATGTACTTGAGACTGTGTCAAAGCCAAGAAAGCCTGAGTCAATGCAGGTTCTTTTTATGAATATTTCACTGCTACACTTACTTCTCTTGTCAAGAGCAGTTCAAGCACAGATTTTATACAGCAGAATGTTTCTGCCTTGGGTAGGAAGCTACAGTCAGACTTGAAGATCCCATCATAATATGCCTGCTTGTAACTTGAGGCACTTAAAATACATTTTAAAAAGGTAGGGCTGATTTTTGGTTCATCTTGTCCATGATAATGCTCTATGGATGGGGCTTTTAAAAGTGCATTTTACAAACTCCCCATGAATGAGAGATTGTGCTAAAAATGAGTAACTGGTCTTACTGTAGCATTTCAGTAGCTCACTGAGCCACCAGCTAAACGTGAACAGCTAAGCCCCCAGATTTAAAGACAATAAACTAAAATCTACCATTTCTTCACAGCTGGTGTTGAGTGTGTTTAGGATATAGAACCACCGTTCCCCACTGCTGATTCCAAAATCATGGATTTTCTAGGAAGCTGTTTAACTCACATGCTTACCCGTGCACCATCATTCACATTTCCAGCCATCCCTCAGGAAATGACATGAAATTAAGGACCAACATATGGCAGATTGCCCTTTAACTGCTCAAAATTACCCCTTATTGAACTGGTCAGGATGCTGCAATGCAGCAGAGCTCTCTGCATAGAGCCTTGGCGAAGGAGGACTTCACATGGAGATAATCTTAGCCACTATCATTATCAAAATAACCCAAAAACTCCTTTACATGGCACCATTGAAAACTTCCCCAATCCACTGTCTCTCAGGGTGTGCACTTGCAGTGACACCTTCTGGTTGCTGGTGGTTCACCAGAACACACTTTACCCTTCAACTATCTAGCACAGCTATGCAGAAATTTGCTCTCTTCAACAAACATGCTCAGACAGAACAGAACCTTTTTCCTCCTAACAAGCAAGAAAGAATAATGGGATATATTCCAAGTTTTTCTTGTGATGACCAACAATAAATCATTTCCTAGCTCGGGTCACATCTTCCATGGGAAGAAAAACGTCTCACCACCATTAACTTCTTTTCAGCTAGCAATAATATATGATCAGGTTTTAAGTAATTGAACCAGTAGCATTTAATTAGCTCTGAAAAACTATCTCAGATCATGAATCACAGCCTTTCCACCTGCATGAGGTCCCCTTACTAGGTTAAAAGTATATTTCTCTTTCCATGTGTGATCCATCTTGAGTATCTAATGAGGTGTTCTTGATGTATGGATTATAGTTCATGTATCACATGCAAAATATAGCAGACAGTGTCTCCTTTAAATAACTGAGTTCCATGTCTTGCTTCACTGAGCAGTTAAAAAAAGAAGAGACCAAAAAAAAAAGCCTCTTGTGTCCATGACAGAATGACCACTCCTCACTTCAATTTAACAAATTCCTTTCTCCAGAGAGTCAGCATTAAGGATGAGTAACTTAGACATCCTGAGGAAATGTAATACTAGCAATATTTCTTGTTGAAAGACAGTGTACAAAGAACTGCTATGATTTTAGACAAGACCACGCTGACATTTTTCAGCAGGCTCAGAGCACTGACTGACCAAAGAGCAGGATATTTCCTTCTAATGTAACTTCAGATGTCTTCATCACATACTAAACAAATCAGTGCAGTCAACTAATATCTGGGGACATGTGTGGGCAGCACAAAAGGATTATGTCATGTATCAGATTGTATGAAGCATAATTTCTTACATTAAATGAGCTAAACCACAATCATTAGCCACAAAAACTCCACTGTTTTTATTCAGTTTTCAAGTATGTTTTTGAAGCTCTTATTATGCTTTTTATGACAAGACTTACATAATTATAAGACTGGATTTTTTTTGCTGAGAAAGAGGCAAGATTAGCAAACTTCTTTTGGAAAACAGAAACTAAGACTCACAATCTGCTCAAATGTCAAACTGTAAACGTTGCCCAATATTTAGCTTGCTCTGTAAAAAAAATTTCACTACAAAATCCTCTATCTTTAAATAAACTTCATAAAAAAATTCAATAAAGTGGCTTTTATCTCTCTGTTCTTTTCCCATTTTATTTTTAGCACAGTAAAAAAAAAAATGTTTGTGCTGACTTTTTTCAATTTGAAGACAGCAAAGGTTTCATTTTCATAATAAAGAAAGCAGTGAAAGCTGAACTGCCTTACTGAATTGGACACAGCTTGTCTGCACTCCAAATACTTCTTTCAGATGTTATCATAAATTGTAAATAATGTTGCTCTTGATTGCATGCAACACTCGATCTAGTTATGCACAACATTTTAAAAAGACTGATGGGATTAGTGTCCCACACATTAAAAGCTGCTGAGAGAGGAAAGGATGTATGGCATCCATTACATACACATCCACTTTGAAAAATGTCTGTCATGTGGATGGTACAAATCTGAGTGAGAACAGAAAAGGTTTACAAAATCCACCTTTTATGTTACATAGCAAAAACTCCAAACAATGTCCAGTTTGTGGTACTGTGTTTGGTAGACATTAGGTAACATTTCTATTAGCTCCACTTGTGCAGTTGACATTAATCCTGAGGTTTTAAGAACATTTTCTTTGCTTTTTTCTTAGGTCTTGTGTTACTATTCACATCTTCAACTTCATTATCTTCGTCATCTTCAACATCATCCTTGAGTACACGCTGGTCTCTTTTCCTCAAAAATTTCTTCCCTATTGTTCCCACTAATGTTTCGTATCTGTAAAGAGAATAAAAATTGTACACCTTTTACTAAAATCAGAGAAAAAAAATCAATGGAGCAAATCATAAATTTAATCAAGTATTTAGGTGGTGTAAAAACTTAGTCATTAGAAGCTTGAAAAGCACAAGTACAACATGATCACTTATTATATCATTATCCATTCTGATAGTCTGAGTTTGTTAGTAGTCTGTAACAAGGAGGTAATTAGCATGGAATACCCAGATATCAAAGGGCAGAAAACCCCTACAAGTTATTTTACCCCCCAAAGTGATGGAGATTCCACTGAATATACACCAGCATCCCTGGGAAATCAGTTCTGTACAGTTGTGGGGTCAGTACCATATCTGTTGTGGGGTTTTGTTTGTTTGCTTTTTTGGGTTTT